TTTCTCACAGCTGATGACATGAGTGCAATTCTTGCTGTGAAACTAAGGAAAAGACTGGGCGGAATGTCTGCAAAGTTGCATGTAACAGGCATGCATGTTGAAGGAAAGGTACCGATGAAAAACGAAATGGTTGTTTTTGCTATAGTATTAGCTATGTTGCCCATGGAAAGAGTTTATTGTCTCTCCTAAACAGTAGTACTGCCAAGGAATTTGCATCATGTCAGGTTGCATAGTTCCTATGCCCTATCCAGACCCCTGCAAGTGCTTATTTCTATTGACGTGACATAATTAATTGGAATTTATTCCATCTTTAAGGTTTTGATTGGGGTGAAATTTATCCGGAAGTGGCCTTTTCTTGGTCGTCTGAGAGTATGCTTTGCTGAGCCTCCATATTTCCAGATGACTGTGAAACCTATCTTACCGCATGGACTTGATGTTACCGAACTTCCAGGGATTGCTGGATGGCTTGTAATAACTCTATTTCCTTGATAAATCTTCAGCTTCTTATTTTAACATTTCTTCCTTTATCCTAATCGTATTGTGCATCCTCGTTTTAGGATAAACTTCTCTCGACAGCATTTGAGCAGACGCTTGTTGAGGTTGTTTTTTTTCCTTCTAAACTCCGTTGCCAACTATGTTCTATCTTATATTCTGCAAATGCATATTGCAGTCTTAGGATGTACTTACACGTTTAAGTTACCAGCAATTTGCTCTTCCGGTCTAAAGTTAAAATATTTGTTTCTTTTGCAGCCTAATATGCTGGTGGTTGATGTTGAGAAGTTTGCTTCACCCAGTTCAGGTAATTTGGTCATTAATTTCCCATGTTTCATTGTTCTTATATTTTACTTATAGCTCATTCGTAGGTCGTAAATTATTACAGATTAACTATTTTCACGAGTTAATATTTCATTGTTCTTATGACTTTTCTCATTCACCTTATCGTTCAATATATACCCAGAAAGCTGGTTTTCTGTCCATGAGAAGCAACCTATTGCTCATGCTAAGGTTGAAGTTATTGAAGCATCTGATATGAAACCTTCAGATTTAAATGGTTAGTTTCCGATCACGTTGCTTTATCTTTCTATCATATAATATCTGATTTTGCAATCGTTGATTGAATACAAATTTCCAGGATTGGCTGATCCATATGTGAAAGGGACACTTGGCCCTTATAGATTCAGGACTAAGACGCACAAGAAAACTTTGTCTCCGAAATGGCACGAGGAATTTATGATCCCTATCTGCTCTTGGGAGACACCTAATGTAATGGTTATAGAAGTTCAGGACAAAGACCATTTGTTTGATGACAGTCTCGGGTTCGTCTCTAAATATCTAAAATAACCATATGGCATATTGTGCAATCATGTTTAAATCGTCGAGCGGGATTTCCCTTTTTTGTACTCCTATTGTACAATTTTTAGGTCCATCTGCCCTTGCCGTTTTGTGCGCTACGTTAACAACCCTTTCTAGTAACTCATTAGTTTATCTTTGAACTAGCATCTGTTTAGCTTTTGTGATCGTGATATTTGGTGCCGCAACTTGTTGCTTTTCTCTTCTCATGGCATACTGATTTTTCTGTGTTTACAGTAATTGCTCGGTGAATGTTACCGAACTTAGGGGTGGTCAGAGACACGACATGTGGTTGCCTCTTCGAAATATTAAAATGGGAAGATTGCATCTTGCGATAACTGTGGTTGAAGATAATGCTAAGGTAATCTACTATATAATCCGCTGGTCGATAACGATAAGTAAGAACCAGAATGTTTTAATTTTCAATCTTTTGCATGAAACTACTATTATGAGTTAAAATCTGCAGAGAAACTAAAACTGAATCTGTGGACAGGTTACACAGGGAAGTGATGACGCGGACCACACGGTTCATGCTGAAACATTAAACAAGGAAGATATACAGGTCGCCTTTGCAACTAAAGATGCTGATAACGGTTTATTCTCACCTTCGTCTTCGCTTAAGTCTCCAACCCTGCCGGATCATTTAGAACCTATAGATGTTGAAGGACAACAAGAAACCGGGATATGGGTTCATCACCCTGGAAGTGAAGTGTCACAAACTTGGGAACCTAGGAAAGGGAAGGTTAGAAGCCTCGAGACGCAGATTCATCGAGTGCCTAACGGTTCTTTTGGCAGCACCATTTCAGCAGCAACCGGATCCATTAAAAGTGATGACAGCAGTTCTGAAGAAAATCCCAATTCGAAGAATCGAGTCAACATGATTAAGCAGGGTTTACGGAAGATTGGTTCTTTATTTCAGAGGAGTCCCAAAAGCGAGGGTTACTCGGGCAACCTCGAAGAGGTGGTTCCTTCTCCTCATGAAAACCTCAGAGCAGTTAATGACAAGGATGTTTTGGTGAAGTTTGTAGTTGATGACAATCTCTTGGCTGTCAAGGTTTCGAATGATGGAAGCTCGAGTCCCGGGGGAAGCAGTGCAGAGAGCCCTAGAAAAATGAAAGATATGGCAAAGAGTATTCTAAAACATGCTGGGAATTCCGCTGCTCATGGCATAAAACATGTTTTTTCTCGTAAAGGGTCGAAAAAATCTCGCAATCTATCAGCTGTGGAAGAACAAGAGTTCCCAATAGAGTCAGAATCCGACGACGACGACGATTCATTGTCATCCCCAGGAGTCAGGAGAATGCCGGTTCTTTCCAATCCCATATCCAGCGCCAGTGGAAACGACGGTACAAATGATCATCAGGAGCATGTCATTCAAGCAGATTCAAACAACCAGTTGAACCCTGAAACAAATGCCGAGGGACAAGTGGAGCAAACGAGTGTTGAAGGCCAAAATGGAGTGGATGAAGATGAAGCCGACCGTCCTGTTAAGCTAGCTAATGGAAGTAATGAGCCGCCCCGAAAACCGAATCCTTCCGAGGGGAACTCGGAATGTGAGAAAAAAGTAGAAAATCCTCAAACTGATACTGAAGTTTAGTTTCCACAAAGGCATGTGAATCCACTGATATGTTTAAAGACTTGAGTTTTGAAGAAGAGTGCCATGTTACGGCAATATAGAGTTTTAGGTGGATAAGAATACATATAGATCTGTTCCTTTTAAATCTCCAAGTTTGATTTCTCATCTCTGTTATACAAATCCGTGTAAACTACCAAAATGAAAACAGTTTGTACATGATGAGCAACACCTAGAGCAGTTTTCCTTAAAGTTCAAACCTTTGAGCACCTTGTTTAATAATTTATCAAAATTTCAAGGCTCAAACTTGGCCTAATATGCAATATAAAATAGGGTAAAATATAAAAATAGTCCCTGAATTTTTAGGGTGCTTGTATTTTGGTCACCCAACTTTTATAACTTGTAATACAATCATTGAACTTTTAGTTCATTTTCAATAAGATCTTTGCCATTACCTTCCTAGTTAGGGCTGATGTGACACGTTACCTCTGTAAACTCTTCTTCTTCTTCTCCTTCTTCAACAAAAATTAATTAAATACAAAAACCCAAACAATATATACATAAAATAGTTAGTAAAAACATTGTAGTTTACAAACCCATGATCTTCTTTGACGACAACCAATGATAGAAACAATGGAGCAGGATGGATGTTTGATGATCATAGCGGCACACTTGCTGTACCTCCTGGTGGTACGGCTGACTTGAAGGTCACATACGCGTCCGAAGGGTGGAAGTTTAAATGCAAGAGTTTTGGAGGCAACACATACTACATCAGTGGCTCTGGGTGGACTTGTTTCTTCAATTGGGCGGGGGAGAGAGCTAGGGTCACTCTTTATTCCAAAGAAGACGGCGAGGACTTTCACCGTATCCATGTGAAGAAGCAGGGAGCTTGATCGAGTATGGATGCTATTTGTGGGATTGAAGTCTTATATTTCTTCTTTTATTTCATAGGTAAATCATGCATGTTTCTGCGATTTGCAGCTTTGTTTTGTTAAGGCAGGCGGCATTCTGCTGCATTGTCATTTGTCAAGGTATTGTATTCCTTGAGGTTATCAATGAAATGTTTATTGGTTCTGTTCTATTACAAGCAGCTTCAATGTGAAATGGAGCAAATATTCAAATCTGAATCTCTTTAATTTAACTCAAACCGTAAACACGGAGTTTACTCGAAACAGAATAACAGATCGCCTTATCATTCCCGGTGTTAAGGCTTTCTCTTTAGCCATGGATGTATTGATGATCCAAAGTATGTATGCAAAAGGCTACATGAACAACTTCCAAGATCTCGGGTATAACATTTTCTTGTTTACTTGCTTATTAAGCACGGCCAAAACAAGGAATCAGCCACCTATGCCCCCATAATCTCTGTGGTTTACCGAGGCATCAATCCAATATCCACTAATCTTTACATGGGAGAGTTTCTTAGTCAAATTTCAAGGCATTACTGCCCGAAACGAGGAGTGGTCTGAGCAGTAGAAAACTTACATTCCTTGTCAGCGAAACACCATTCGAAATCATGAACATTTTTTTGATTGGGTGTGGATGATCGAACAGGACACGGAAGGGGCGATGATACTGTCTGGTATGGCAATTCATCCCCACATTCTGATAATGCATTGAAGTTGAACCTACGTGACCTTGATCTTGTCTTCAATGTATCGACTTTGACAATTTTGGGGCTGTCATCTCATGCATTGGTTTCCATTGATGCAAACAAAAGTATGTATGCAAAAGGCTACATGAACAACTTCCAAGTTCTCGGGTATAACATTTTCTTGTTTACTTGCTTATTAAGCAGGTCAAAACAAGGAATCGGGTACCTATGCCCCCATAATCTCTGTGGTTTGCCGAGGCATCAAGCCAATATTCACTAATCTTTACATGGGAGAGTTTCTTAGTCAAATTTCAAGGCATTACTGCCCGAAACGAGGAGTGGTCTGAGCAGTAGAAAACTTACATTCCTTGTCAGCAAAACACCATTCGAAATCATGAACATTTTTTTGATCGAGTGTGGATGATCGAACAGGACACGGAAGGGGCGATGATATTGTCTGGTATGGCAATTCATCCCCACATTCTGATAATGCATTGAGGTTGAACCTACGTGACCTTGATCTTGTCTTCAATGTATCGACTTTGACAATTTTGGGGCTGTCATCTCATGCATTGGTTTCCATTGATGCAAACAAAAGTATGTATGCAAAAGGCTACATGAACAACTTCCAAGTTCTCGGGTATAACATTTTCTTGTTTACTTGCTTATTAAGCAGGTCAAAACAAGGAATCGGGTACCTATGCCCCCATAATCTCTGTGGTTTGCCGAGGCATCAAGCCAATATTCACTAATCTTTACATGGGAGAGTTTCTTAGTCAAATTTCAAGGCATTACTGCCCGAAACGAGGAGTGGTCTGAGCAGTAGAAAACTTACATTCCTTGTCAGCGAAACACCATTCGAAATCATGAACATTTTTTTGATTGGGTGTGGATGATCGAACAGGACACGGAAGGGGCGATGATACTGTCTGGTATGGCAATTCATCCCCACATTCTGATAATGCATTGAAGTTGAACCTACGTGACCTTGATCTTGTCTTCAATGTATCGACTTTGACAATTTTGGGGCTGTCATCACATGCATTGGTTTCCATTGATGCAAACAGTCTATTGCAGTGAATTTCACTTCTTGGTTCATCAAATCGTTCCTGAAAACGAAAAAAGAACACCAATATAACCAAATATTGAGTGACGGAAACGGATCGACAAATGGTGCTTACAAAGGATTTCCGGTTCCTGTTTTCGAGACAATACGAATTCTCCTTGTTGAAGGAGCGACGAATCCGCTGAGAACGAACTGATGTTTGTCCTCTTAGAAGAGCATGCATACTCTTCTAAGAGGAGATGCCCTGTTTCTTACAAGAAAGCCTCTAACCAGAGCTTGTAATCGAACCAGCCCTTTCAAAGCTCTAAGTGCTTTCCGAGACTCAGAACAATACGACGGGTTTGTAACTACAGTTATTTTACTCACTATATTATGTATATATTGCTTGGGTTTTTATATTTGATTAAATTTTTGTAGAAGAAGAAGAGGAGGAGGAGGAGTTGACGGAGGTAACTTGTCATGTCAGCTCTAACTAACGGAAGGTAACGGCAATGACCTTGCTAAAAACGAACTAATAGTCCGATGACTGTACTGTAAGTTTTACAAGTTAGGTGACCAAAATGCAATAACCCTAAACATTTGGGAACTAATTTTATATTTATTATTAAAAAATATTATTTTAATGAGTCCACGGTTTCTCCAGCAAACAGAAAAAGAGCAATATTGTGAAAACGACGTTTAACGAATGGAGGATGACAGATAAAAATCCCTGCTTTGCTTTCCAACGCAGACAACCACTCGAAGATAACATTAAAAAACGACACTTGAAGATGTTGTCCAACTTATTAAGCTTTGATCTAATCGTTTCCCAATCTCATTCTTTATTTTAAAAGAAACCCATTACCCTCATATAGCGGAATTGACAATGCTGAGCTTTGGTTTCATGAGATCAACAGCTATTCGATTCTCTCCTTTTATTATTAATCATCCTTCTTCTCCTTCTTCTTGTTTCAGTTTCTCTCCAAAGAAAACCATCGCTTTTGCTCTACGGTCACAAATGGGGTCTTTCACAACGTTATCCCAATCATCATCTTCGAAGCTTTTGTTTCGGCAGCTGTTCGAGAAAGAATCCTCTACTTACACTTACCTCCTTGCTGATTTCTCTCACCCTGATAAACCAGCACTTGTAAGTGTTTGTTTCCCCTGAAAATAAACCCTGGGTTTTGATTAGTATTTGATGTGATGTGATGATATGATGTGCAGTTGATTGACCCTGTAGACAAGAATGTTGATAGAGATTTGAGTTTGGTTAGAGAATTGGGGCTGAAGCTTATATATGCCATGAACACTCATGTTCATGCTGATCATATCACTGGAACTGGCCTCATCAAGGTTTTCCCTATTGTTGCTTAGATTGTTTCCTATTTCAGATTCTATATATTCTGGGTTTTTTGTTTTGTTTTGTGTATGAATGTGTTTGATTCTTTTAGGGCAAGGTGACTGGTGTGAAATCTGTTATTTCAAGAGCGAGTGGTTCCAAGGCTGATGTTTTTGTTGAACCTGGTGATAAAATCTCTTTTGGCAATCTATTTCTTGAGGTAGGCCTGTGTTGTGTATGCAAACATGCTGTTCTGTCAGTTTTTTTGTATGGGTTTTTTGAATAGTTCTGGAGAATATAGCTTTGGTGTTTGGGTGGTTTACTGGTTTACATATTGTCGGTCAACTCGACGAACTCGAAATATTTTTCACTCGACTTACTAAGGAAGGCCTTCACTGTTATAAACATTATATGCGTAACTCTTATAGAATGAGAAACATATGAGCCAACTGAATCGGATAATCCGTTAGTGAGAGAATCATGATTCTTTATGAACTTGGATAAGTTGTATGGCAAGTGTAGCTTGTATGTTTCCTTTTATGACATGAATACTTGCAGGTTCGTGCCACGCCTGGTCATACCGCGGGTTGTGTTACCTATGTCACGGGAGATGGACCCGATCAACCTCACCCGAGGATGGCTTTCACAGGAGATGCCCTGTTGATAAGGGGGTGTGGGAGGACAGATTTTCAGGTATAATGTCTCGAAAATGTTATCTTGCCTAGATGCAATAGGACCGATGTGTAGATATCCAATAGGAATCCTGCTCTCCGTTATCCGTTTGTCTAGTCTTCCACATATCAATGCTTGCCTTGTTATTGTGACTGCACATATATGGTAGTAGCGTTTTTTTTTTCGTTCTCAACCTTCATGGTAAATTACTCGGTAATGGAATCATTGTTCCGAGGTTCAGCAGGCATTGACTGGTACAAATTAACTCCTTTTGCAGGGTGGAAGTTCAGAGCAACTCTACAATTCAGTGCATTCACAGGTAAAGGACATGGGATTTCTTATGGAATTGTCGAAATTCGAATATAAGATATAGACATATTTGTTTCATGGTCCCAGATTTTCACATTGCCCAAGGAGACGTTGCTATATCCAGCCCATGACTACAAAGGATTCACAGTAGGACTATAACTTAATCCTTCTCATTTCATACACACATACATAAATTATTATTGATTATATAAAACCCGTTGCTTATAGGTAACCACTGTCGGAGAGGAGATGGTGTATAATCCGCGCTTGACGAAGGATGAGGTATTCCTTCTGGCACGATCCATCGTCCCTTTTCTCGTTTTTTTCATGGATTTGATGATGTTATCTGTTGAATACCCTTTTGCAGGAAACTTTCAGAAGCATCATGCAAAGTAAGTCGATGCTCAATCAATCCAATCTGTAGGCGGTTTCGGATCGTCGGTCCTAACGTCTCTGTTTTTCTGTTGGTGCAACAGATCTAAACTTGGCATACCCTAAGATGATTGATGTTGCAGTGCCAGCAAATATGGTCTGTGGGTTGCAAGATTTGGAACCTAAAACCAACTAAGGCTTTGCTGGAGCATCGATAGGTGCACGGATTTCGTTTGGAGCATGATTCTTGATCCTGATATCAGTGAATATGCTAAATAAATGGCTACACATGCCTGCTTGATTGCAGAGAATCAATGTATAAACATTATATAATGTTGTGAGCATGCAATATTGTCATTTTTCCCACTGCATTTAAACTTGTGTTCTTCATGTAAACCTGATAGGTATATTGATCCATATCTTTTATGATGGAGCTATCATGTTTTTGTCAAAATTATGCCATTTTGATATACGTATTTGTTTTTTGGGTAAATCACGTATTTAATATTTAAACTATCAGTTTTGATCCGTTTTAGTACCTTAACTTTCTATTTTTTCAAAATCATACATAACTATATTTAGTTTTGTATAAAATATCTAGGATAAACTATATTAATAGTCATCGATCTATTACTTTTCTCCTATTTTAGTCACTGAAAATGGTGTTTTAAGCCCCTCGGATTCCCACTATTTGTACAAAGAACCACAAGTGAAACTATAAGTGAATCTAAATTGTCTACGATCATTCAATCCAAAACAAGGGAAAGGAAGGATAAAAAATGATGAACAACATTAAAAATCAGTTACAGATTTCTCAGACTTTGATCTGCTCCAACATTTTTACAACCTCAGCCATTGTTGGTCTATTGGAAGGATCAGTTTGAAGGCACATCAGTGCTATGTTGAATGTAATGTTAATCTCTTCACCAGGACAACAACCTAAGTTACTGTCGACCACATATTCTTGCTTCCTTTCTTCAACAACTCCCTTTACCTGTTGTAATATTGATTGAAATCAATTATATATTTGGTGAAATCGATGATCGATCCCGTTTTTTTAAAGTTAATCCTTGAACTAAAAGTTGATGAAACTAGAGAAAGTTACCCATGTCACAAGCTTTGTTCCTTCCTCAATAAATGCTTCATCCATCGGTTTCTTTCCGGTTAAAAGTTCGAGCAAAACTACTCCGAAACTATAAACATCACCCTTTGCCGTTGCTCTTCCGGTATCGAAATATTCTGCAGAAAAATAGAGGCAGTTTCGATGTAACTATCGAGCAATCAAACAGATAAGATGAGAAGAATGTCTGCAAATGTTGTTTTGTCATGAACCTGGGGCTAAATATCCAAAGGTTCCAGCGACAAATGTTGAAACATGAGTCTTGTCTGGTTCCATCAATGTGGCTAGCCCGAAATCGGAGACTTGAGCCTCCATGTTCCGGTCGAGAAGTATGTTGCTCGATTTTATATCCCTGTGGATTATGTGAGGGATACAATCATGGTGAAGATATGCTATTCCTCTTGCAGCACCAAGTGCTATTTTAGACCTTGTTGGCCAATCCAAAACCTTCTTGTCCATTGATTTACCTGCATCATGGTTCAATCCAACATTATCATCAAATTTAGACCCCATAAGAAGTGAAGAAATAATGTGTGCATTACCATGAAGAACAGAATCCAAACTTCCATTAGGCATGAGCTCATAGATAAGAAGATTGTAGTGAGGGTTGGTGTAGTATCCGTGAAGAGTTACGATGTTGCGGTGCTTGATATCGGCCATGGCTTCCAATTCTCTCTCGAATCCTGTATCTCTATCTGCAGTTCCTCTGCTGAGCCTCTTGACGGCAAAGGCCATGGTCTCGTTTATCGTTAACCGGTAAACCGTACCGTACCCGCCGGTGCCGATGATGTCGTTGTTGGTTAATTTCAATGTGCACTTCAAGAACGCATCGGATGTTAGTGACCGCAACAATGGTGATCTGAACATCACCATCTTTCCACCCGAGAAGCCTTGCTCATGAATGGCGTTCTTTCTTTTCCATCGCTTGTACAGGAGGATCATAAGAACGGTCTTCGATATGATGAAGACTACGCAGCATATGGTGATGTAGAAGGCTAATCCCAGATAATTTGCCATTTTTGTTTCTCTGCAGCAAACTTGAAAATTGAAAGTTCAAATCACCATTGACAGCAACCAAGGTGCACGGAGAAGCAAACAAATCAAAAAGTGAGGATCAAAATGGCAAAACTAAAATGAGTTCATGGCCAAAAATTTCAGCTAAACTCTGCAATTTCATCCTTACCAACAACATCTCCCTGTAGTGTCAATCATTGTTATAAGACAACAAATTGGAACATGGCGCAGTGAAAATTATATGAAAAGTGTGAAGTAGATGAACTTGCCAGAAATACTCTTGAAGAAGGTTGATAGATTCTTGTAATGGAGTATCAGTTGGACCCAGAAATCAAAGTGAAACCGACAAATGAAAAGTTAAAAAATAGCGCTTAATTGCTTATTCAACACTTTTGTGTTTTTCTTTGACATTTAAGTTTGTTGCATGTCAAACATCTTCCCTTTCTCGTGGAGTAAAAGGCTACGTTTCTCAAGAATATTGAATGGCCACGTCATATGCATATGTGGCAGTCACTGATGACAACACGTTTCCAAATCTTGCATGAATCATGTGTGGAAACAGATATTTGGCTTCACTTTTTGTTTTGGTCATCATCATCCCTTTGTACCAATTCTAACCAATCAATGGAAAAAAAAGCAGCAAATACAATAAAACTGGATTTAGCCAAACTGGGAAGGGAAAGCTATTTTTTTATTAAGCTAAAATTATCGTAAAATAATAAATATTTTAGATATTTCCAATCATTTAACAATAAATATTTATTATTTTTAGAATGTAAATTGATCATGTGAAAGTGTGGGCTGTCGCCATAGATCTTGCGCCACCTGTCGTTTCACTATTAATGTGGGGAGTTGGGAATTTCCATGTTAAGCCAATAGGATGTATTATTATCCATCTGTGCTTGATGAAAGAAAGTAAATGCAATGCTGTCAAGGCAAAGAGTTAGTTAGGTGATTTTTGTTGTTCAACTTTTGATCCATGAAAGTCGTCTTTTTTCTTGGGAAATCTCACGACATTCTAATATATCCGAAATTATTATTAGTCGGAGTTTTATTAGGTTTGTTAATATATCCAATAAAATATTATTTAAAATATTATTTTTTTTACCGAAAATATTAATATAATCACTTAACCAAAAATGTTAAAAGACATAAAAAAAAATTTCTCTTTCAAAAAATGAGACTACCTTTTTCACATTGGTGTTTCATAGATGGTAGGTTTGGATGGGACTGCAAAAGGTCAAATATTTGTATTTGTATAGAGATAATTGCATAAACAGTATGTCTTCATTTTTAAATTAATTCTTAAAATTTTAAAACATTTTATATTACTTTTCAAATTATTAATGTCATTCTATTTTGTTTATTTTATTAACCATATATAGCAAGCTACTCGAGATAGACTTAATCAATGTTCGATAAATACTCGGATCGAATGGACTCGACTCGTGTTTTTAACGAGCCGAAACGAGCTACTCGATATTCGACTAGAAAAGATAATATATTAAGATTTTATTAATAATATTAATATTTATGTATTAATTTTTTTTAAAAAAATACAGTAAGATTTTCATATATTTAAGGTTCATGTTCGAGTTTGAGTTTGAGGCTTCAATCGAGTTAAGTTTAAGAATTTTTTCCATTTCGAGCCTTTTCGAGCTGTTCAGGAGCTTCAGTTCAGGATTTCGAGTTCGAGTCGAGCTTGAAAATTTTAAGCTCGCGAGTTTTCGAGTCGAGCTCCATTTCAGAGTTTTCGAGTCGAGTTGAGCTCAACAATACTCGAGCTCGACTTGGCTCGTTTACACCCCTAGTCTTAAGAATTGCTGAAGGTTGGTTGCTGGCTGTCGATCATTTTCTTTCTTTCATTACTTTAGATTTTAATAAGTCTGCCTTTATGACACGTATTCATCTACTTTCATAGCACGTTTTTTTTGTTTTTTTTTGACACGTTTTTTGTTTTTTATCTAATTTTTTGGCCACTTTTAAAAAGAGCTCTTATCAACGAAGTCATCACCGACCATCAATCAATAATAATAACATGAATGTATGAAAGATATGTCCATCAATACTTAATAAATAATAATAATAATATATGAACTATCATTTTTTTTTACGTATATTTTGTTTTATATTCTTAAAATTTTTAACTAAAAATAATGAAAATACATATAAATATGTGCATCAAGTAATACACAACTTTTATCCCACATTGTAAAAAACATAACCTAAGCTAATCCCATTAAACTCTTCAACTCATGGAATTAATATGTATTAAATTACGATATTAGTCCCTATAGTTTTATTTTTTAATTTTTAATGGTAAGGCGCGGATCGTCCGCGCCTGTCTTTACGTGGTGCCAGCTCGGATAAGGTTAATCATCCGCGCCTTTCATGACACGGTGTCAGCTCGAACACAACCATGCAAAGACGCGATTTTAACATGTGTAAAACCGCCCCAATATGAGTTAAATAACTTCTGGGTAAACTATCACAAATATCATTTAACTTTAAGTTGTATATTAATTTTATCATTAAATTTTAAAGTTCTATCAATTTTAACATTAAATGTTAAATTTAAATTCATTTAGAATATCGAACCATGATACATTAATAGTAGCATGACAATTTAATATTAACATGTGTTGATGTAGAAGTAAAAATAGTACTAGTATATATATATATATATATATATATATATATATATTTGGTACATACTAGTATATATTTTATTTCATCTTATATTCTTCATCAAATATATTAGTCATTATTGAAATTAATCATCCTACGAGTTTTGTTATGGCCATTTTAGATATCGATAAATTCGTCTCAAATAATTTATCTATTTAGATTTTTAAAAATATGATTAAAACTTACGAAAGTAAACATCAAAAATCTATTATTTTTTTGATTTTCTCATATTCGAGGGGCTTATTCAAAAATTCGAAAGGAGACAAACATTATTATGAGAAGACGAACAATATACCTCGAAACTAGTATCATCAGACAATTGTCGAAGAAGATAAAAACACTAGAACGTCAAACTTTTAGAAGATTATTTTGTTGATTTTGGGTTAATTTCGTGAAAAAACAGTACAAAGGCAAAAATCAGTGCTGATCCTATTCCCAAGTTGCCTTTGGAATGATGCTTTGACGATCAACTATAACTTCAGGCATATGGGATATCTTCAACCACTCTGGTCCCTGATTCATTATCAGCTGGCCTAGTAGCGATATATGACACCTTCGAATATATAGCTTCCGAACTGAAAGAAGCACATCTTTTTCTGGCAGAGATTCGATTTCGGGGCAATCGAGCAGCCACAGTTCTCGAAGACAGCCGACATTTCGAAACCCCATCGTCAATAAGCTTCTCAGGTTTCCGAAGTTGATCACGGTGATACTAGTGAGAGTGGGAGGCAGCACACATCCTTCTGGTGGAAATGTCACCACATGTGGACATTGCTGGCCATCAATGAAGAGTTCTTTAAGGGAAGTAAGTTTATGCAGTCCCCATTTAAGCAGCGAGTGACAAAATTTAGGCAGCGTGACCGAAATCGATGTTAGAGATGTAGGAAGACCTTGTTCTGTAAATGGAAAGTCAGGTGAGCAATCAAACAGTGACAGTTTCTTCAGAGCAGTGAGTTTATGCATGTTGGGAAGGTCTGCTAAACTTTGGCAGTCACTAATCCGAAGGGATTCGAGCTTTCTGGTAGGCAAACCACTCGCGGTCAAAGAAACCAAATTTCGGCACAGCAAAATATTGATCTTCTTAACATTGCTGAGCTTGTTTAACCCTTGAGGTAAAGATTTAAGGTTCCCACACCTACAGATTTCAAGTAGTTCAAGAGAAGATGTTTCATGGATTGCTTGCACAATGGATTCCAGTCCAAGGCAGTCCTTAACCGAAAGCTGTTTAAGGCCCGAGGGTAACTCGCCACTCGATGATAAGGAAGCAAGCCTCGAGCAATTTGCAACCAGGAGATTTTGGAGCCTAATGGGCAATGATAAAGATACTAAAAGAGGACAGACCATGATTTCCAAGTGTTCAAGGGAACATGTACTACTGATGCTGGTATTTTCTCCTTGATCCACTAAACACCGTAAATTCGAGCAATCTATAATCACTAACCTCTTTAGAGTCGGGGGCAAGTTGTTCATCGAAAACGAAACTATGGACCGGCACTCTTTGATTTGCATCTCGGTTAGAAATGTGAGGAAATGCAGGTCTTGTGGTAGCCTATGGAGCTTTTAAAAGTTCGCTATTGTCAAGGACTCAATATTGCTAGCCTTCTCAAGTTTTAACTGCTGTTCGTCAAACTCGATCTGCATAGAATTCGACATTTGGAGACTACGGAGAGACCTCAAATCCCCGACTGATTCAAACTGCTTCCATGATAAGGACGCCAAATTGTTACAGCTACTAATACTCAGATGCTCCAGGTTGCTTAGGCCTGACACCAGCTTCTCAGTTAGGGGAGAAAGCTTGGAGATATTCGAAAGAGAAACTTTTCTCAAGGGGGGAAAGTCTGTAACATCTCTAAGCACCAACTGTTTCAGCTTCAAGGTGGATACTCCTCCAATCTGGAAGACCTGAGAATCTCCGATATGAATTGGCTGCGATATATATGGAAGGGTCCCATCCCATTTGAAACAAATATCAGGGAACTAACCATAATGCACTGCCGTGGCTTGACATACATCTTTCCAATGATGCTCATCCAAAATTTACCACATTTGAACAATCTTAGTAGACTGTGAGAAGTTGAAGCAGATAATTATCATTGATGACATTTTGGCAGCAGCAGCATCTTCACAAGGTCTACCCTTTCGACCTCTTCTTCTTCCTCCTCTCCCTCTCTACTTGGAGATAAAGGATAACGTTCTTCATTTTTAATTGACTGCAATTCTCTACTCAAATCAAAAATAATGAATCATCTGTGATACTAAAATATAAATATTATCATCAACGAAAAAAATATAATATATTATGAACCTAAAAATATCGATGAAACTAATGAACTTGAGTTTTGAATATTAAAGGGATTTCTATTTTAAATAGGTTTGTTTTTCTATCATTTAAGATCAATATTGATATATTATTTACTATTATAGTATGAATATTTTTTATTTATTAATAATTTTATTATTTTTTCTTAATCTTTTAAATGCAAACATATCAAACTCAATAAAAATAACTTTTATTTCTTTGCTAGGTTTTCTTTTCCTCTATTTTAATGTAAAAAATGTAGGAGAGTTTAAAGAAGGATACTCTAATTTAAGGTTAAGGAACGGAAGAGAATAGGCGCAATAAAAAATATATAATATTTTTATTAGACGCAACTAAAATTACAAAAATTAACATTTTGGGCTACACGAATCCGAAAATATTATGTTTTTTTATATAATATTTTTATAACCCCTAGACCCAACCTAGGAGTTACAACTGACTCGGGTGATCACGTTGATCACATAAATGATCCACGAACGAAAAATTATTTAATAGGTTGTTTTGAAAACATTTACCGAATACGAAATCGGAAATAAACTCATACCACATCTTAAAAAGGTTGAAAATAAATATTAAACCCCATATAATAAATAATTAAAACCACATCCAACAACCAAACTAGTCTTATAATTATGTGATATATATGGATTGGTTATGATGTATTTTTATATGTAAATGTTTTTAATTCATCGTTATATGTCTTTAATTAGTTATTTATATATATATATATATATATATATATATATTATTAGATGAAAATGATTCATAAAAAATAAGGGTAAAATATACAAATGGTCCCTGAATACAGGGTACTATTTTATTAAGTCCCTCAACTATTAAAACTTATAAAATGATATTTCAACTATACAATATTACTTTGTTAAGTCCATCAACTATTTAAAGTTACAAAATGATTACCCGACTATTCATTATATTACAAACTCGTCATGTTCCGTTAAAAAATTGGTGGTTGTTAAAGTTGAATGTTAACACGATGACTGAGATATGATAGTTGTTTAAGATTGCAGGATCAAATTTTATCATATCACAGTCAACAAATTAACGTTGAGTTCAGAATACTGTCAATTTTTTTAACGAAAAATGATGAGTTTGGAATATAATGAATGGTCGGGTGACCATTTTGTAACTTTTAATAGTCGAGGGGCTCAACAAAGCAACACTATGTAACCAGGAAACCATTTTGTAATTTTTGATAGTAAAGAGACTTAATAAAAAAAATACCCTATAGTCGGGATCATTTGTGTATTTTACCCAAAAATTAATTGAATTTAATTTCAATTATTTTTTTAGATAATTCAATTTTATTACACAAAGTGCAGAGAACTGCTACAAAAAAAACAACCTGTTCATGATTACAAAAGAACCACCTACTTACAAGCACAATAAAACATCAATTAATCTATACCCCATTGATTACAAAGTGTAATATTAACACTATCATTCCTATTAATATTTCTACCCCTTAATTGAATAGCAACAAATTCTTAAATAAAATGGAACATCTCTTCAAAATTTCTCGAGTAGCCTTGGAATAATCTCTTGTTCCTCTCCTCCCAAAGAGTGTAAGTTAAAGCAGTCCAAGCTAACTTCATGATGATAGTGAGTAAGGATTTACCTTTCCAAGTACCACAAGCTCAAGCTAAGTGATTTTTCCATGAAAGTGATCTTCTATGCATGCCGTTAAGGTTCAATACTGCCTCCCACATAGAAATAGCTATAGGACATTGGAGGAATAAGTGATCTCTAGTTTCCATCGAGTCATTGCAAAACACACATTTATCATCAATATCAAGTCCTATACGTTTCAGCCTGTCTTTCGCTGGAAGTCTGTCTAATAAGGTCATCCATGCAATAATACTATACTTAGGAATATGAAGAGGAAACCAGATCAGCTTGTGCCAAGTAACTTTAGTCCCTTTGTTTCGAATCAGATGCCAAATATCTCTGATCTTTTGGACTCCAGAAGCTAGAACAGGGAAAGCCTGAAGTCTCATTTTGAGTAATCGCCTAAAGCTCCAGCTTGAATTAATACCAGCCTCCATGTTCTAAAAGTCAGAATCCTTAATCACAATTATTATTATTGTCAATATATCATATAAAAATACATAAAATCAAATATATTTAAATGTTGATATATAGACAAATTTTATATGTAAAAATGCATAACAAATATAAATTTATGAAATAAACATGCATATCATAAAGATATTGCAAAAGATACGAAATCGTCGATTAGGCAAAGGAAACTCAAAAGGCCGATATAAGATTGCTACGTGCATGGAAAGTATGTGCTTAAAATCCAACCATATTGTTTATATGTATATGTGTTCAAACAACTGATTTTGTAGTGTGTAGGGGTCCGGTTTGGGTTCCTTTGTCGCTGGACACCTCTTGATTCATTCTCAATAAAAATGAATCCATGATCTACAGTTGGGGTCCATGGCTAGAAGGTATCTTTCCCAACGGACAAAAACTATTACCCGATCTCATAATTTATATCTTATATTAATTATGCTGTTAGTTTCAGGAGATATAGTCGATCAAAAGAAATGACAAAATATTTGTTCTTGATTGTTGACTTTTCTAATCGAATATTTTGAATTTGACAATTTTAAATATCAAAACAGATACATTTAGTAAGATGAATGGGGTACTTTTTTTCCCACAACTATAGATTTGAGCTTACCTCCGTATTCATAAAATCAGGGATGAATCGAAAAATGACAGGGACGACTATAATTTTAATAAAATAAATTTATATATAATTTAGATAAATTTTATATCTTCTTTATACCTTCTTCCCAAACAACTTCTTTGACAATGAAGGTCTTTAGAAGATTTATCCTATAATCATAGGATACGGAATTTCATATTTTTTTATCTAATTATTTTATCTTAATGGTAACTCTAGTAGGGATAGATCGAGGGTATGTCCCTAAAAATTTTAAATTCTTATATATTTAAAAAAAATTGTATTTTCGATTGGAGATCTATTTTCATTTCCTAAAATTTTATAAGTTCGTCATCCCTTATAAATTTATAAATTCATCCCTAACATAAAATATTACATTTGTCCCTGTCTCTGACAGACCTACGTGATTTATCACTGTTAGACGGTCGTATACATTCAACCAGCCAATCTACGCGTAGTGATTATGATTGATCATAGGTATCACATCAATACCAAAGGTCTCTACATAAATCCCTCACGATATTAAAGGGGTTCAGTCTTGTTCTTCAAATTTTCTCGATCATCACTAATCAGATGTTATTAATCGTCTGTAACTCTATCGTAGTCCATCCATTGTAACTCTCTGTCTAAATCGAAAGAAGTGAACCGTCTATAACTATCATAATCAAAATATTATCATTACCATCTTTTTTGTTAATCTAATTTGGCGTCCTTAAATTTTATCTCACTTTTCTAAAATAATTAGAGACTATTTACATGATCTAATCAATCAATCAGATGTGATAATGGTTTGTCGATTAATTTCAAATAACCAAAATCATGAATTAACTCTTATATGTTAGTGACCCATGTACGTTTATATATTTTACAGACATAATTGTTCGAATTCAAATATTTTAAGAGAATAAAATTTTATTTTACCACTTATATCGTTCAATAATTTATATCAAACGAATTTTAAAAAACTGTATAATGTGATTATAGTTACAATTTTTAAATTTTATTTTTATTGAGATTTGTAAATATTGAAAAGAAAATTTGAAAAAGGAGAGAAAGAAGAACAAATTCCCTCCAAACGATTGGGCGCAACCAAAGCGAAGTCAAAGGCTCCTCCGGTCATCGCCATTACTCTCCTTCGCTCTCTCCCCCGCCAAAAATAAAAAGCCCTTTTGATTCGGTCCTAATAAATAAATACCCTCATATTTTTCTTCCTTTTTTCTCTTCAGAGATTTCTCTTACTCTGTTTTCATTTCATTAACCATGCTTCGAATCTGATCTCCAATTAGCTGAGGCTTGTTATTTTGGAATTCCTTACCCTTACATTTATCAGGTTATTTTCTCAGGTTACCAGGTCTACCCCTACATTTTCCCAGGTTAGTTTCTCTCCGTAATCTTTTACGTTTATTCTCTGTTTTTCTTATCTGTTCCGTTTTTTGAGTTTGATCTTGAAAATACTATTTATCTATTTATTTTGTT